GTGTAAATGAAGGACATCATTTCTTTAAACACGTCGGGTTCCATATCTCTGATTTCAACTCGGTTCTTTCTCCTCTCTTCCATGTCATGTTCAAACATGGCACAAAACACTGGAGAACGCGCTGCTAAGATGGCTTTGTGAGCCCGGAATTCCTGGCCAGACACACACAGGCAGCAGTCTGTGAGCCGGGAATGCTTCCACAGTCCTCCTAGCTCATCTGGCAACCAGCACTCAGGAGCCTTCACCATATTCATGGTGTTCTGGCTGGAAATGTTGGTGGAATCTTCTTCCACTTTCCCCTCACAGAGTAAGGTAAGCTTGTCATCAGGGAGAAGCCCATTGGCCTTATCCAAAACCATATCTCTACGGATAAATTTCATGAATCCCCAGCCTTCTCCTTCCATGAATCTACAAACTTCTTGATTTGCCATAACTTTGGTATTCTCTCCCTTGGCATTCACAATGTAAATATTAAATTTTGCTAGTGCTTCATGATTTGGTGAGCTGACCAGACACAGGTACAGGGAAAGGTAATCTTTGTTTTCTTCATTGTGTCCCATTGGGTATAATCGTAAATACCATTTCAGTTGATCATTAGTTCCACATGCAAAGACGGAACTTTTCATGGCTTCACCCATTCCTGTTAGGCAAAGGGTAAAGTTTCTGATGGTCCACAGGTGTTTGAATTTCACTACTTTGATGCCTGTAGTGCACTGGCTGTCAGCTATGGGCTTGCTGGACATTTCTTCTGGTGGTGGAGTACTTGAAACTCTTGACATCAGAAGTCTAAAAGTTAAAAAATGTCATCCAAGTCACAGGGCAAGGATTTCCTTCTTCCCCAGTTTGTGGAAACTTCACTGCAGTCAGCAACTCCAAGTCAAGCAAGATGGTATGGCAGTCAGGAGGCAAAGAGCCTAATACGTAGATTAAAAAATCATTATTTAGAAATAGATTTTTCAAGACTTTCTGAATCTTAGACACTTTAGAGTAGTTTATGGATCATTGGAAGAAATAGCTCCCCTACGAAGTCTCCTTTTTTCTGATTGTGTTAGTGCATGCCTGTAATACCAGCGCTGAGGTAGCTGAGACAGAACGATTGCTAAGAGTTTGAGCACGGTTGAAACTACACAGCAAGACCTGTTCTAAAAGACCAAAAAATTCTTAAAATCTCCTTTTTGCTGATGGGTAAAGACAGTGGATGTTTTATTGATGGTACTGGTCATTGAACCTGGGGCCTTCCCACTGATTTATATCTCCAGTACTTTTTATTTTTTACATATGGTCTCATTACCTCATTAGACTTCCAAAGATGGGGTGGAACTTGCAGTCCTCCTGCCTAAGCCTCCAAAAATGCTGGGATTAGAGGAATGCACCAGTGTGCCTGTTTTTGTCAAGAGGATCTCTAAAACACAGATCTATTACTATTAAATTCCAGAGCAATATCTTCTTGATGATTTGCTACATTCTAATAGCTAGTACTTTATTGAGAATTTTTGCATCTATGTTCATTAGGGAGATTGCCCTATAGTTCTTTTTTGGTTGGTTCTTTTTCTAGTTTTTGTATCAGGGTAATACTGTGCAACCATTTTGAAGGTAACATTATGTATATAACAACCGTTGTTAATATCCTATAACTTTGTTTTCAAATTCTATATCATTTTTATTGTTCTCTATGCTGTTTTGTTTATATATTTGTTTTTGTTATTTTGAGTTTTTTCTTTTCTCTTTAAAATGAAAAATAAAATTTATATGTATATATATGGATAGCTACGATAGGTGTATTGCTGATGTCTGTAGATTATTGAAAGGAACAGTCAGTGCTTAAAATTTCCTTTTTCTTAACCAATTTTGCATGCTCATATCTGGTAATCAGAAGGACTGATCTGAAAGCAACAATATGCAGAATAAGAAAAAAAGATTCCAAAGCTGTACAAGGCTATGACACATGAAAATAGAGTATCTTTCAGAAGAATGGTGCCCACTGAAAATGCATGGAATCAGTTGTCATATGGACCTTATTACTCTTTTTCTAGCTCCATGTTCTGCCTGTAGCAGCATATACATCCCTCAAGGCAGCATGGAGCTTGAAGAGATAGAACCCTACTTGGAGATGTGAGGCAAAGTAACTCTCTCTCTGTTTTGTCCCTGCTCTGGCCATAGGAGGTTGTGATTTGCCAGCAACTGTCTCTTCCTCCCCGTTGCTCTACTTTGTTCCCCCTTGTACCCCAATGGATGGGACCATTTGTTTCAGTGTCCTCCAGGTTTACCAAACTACCACCATCCACTTGAGCTCAGCCAGAGAGAGCTGTGTAGCTTCCCCACTCCAGCCCCTTTAGTTGATACTGTTCATTTGAGAATAGACAAGCACCTGGGAGCAGCTAATGTCATGAAGGAAGGCATCTGTGTCCCTTACTTGCACACTCAGCATGCACAGCAAGCCTTTTAAAATAGTACCTTCTAGAAGAGTCCCTTTCCTCCTTAAGCTTGGGTTGTTTGGTGTATTCTCTCAGCAAGAAGAAAATAACTAAGAAATAAAGAAGATAGTCAATGACAGTTTTAAAAATTGCTTGATTAGAAAAGCTGGTTTTTTAAAAAGTTCAATAAAATTGATAAAGATCTGGGTAAGTGGAGGTTATGTGAGAGAAGCACAAATTAGTGAAACCAACAATCAAAGAACTGGAGATCCTATAGTCATTAACAAAAGCAAGGGGATCTGCAACTGGCAAGAGGGAATGCTTCCTAGTGGACAGATTCTGTCTGTTATGGCTTGTATCTAGATGTCTCCCCCAAACCTCATGAAGTCATAAGCAGGCTTCTCAGAGGTGGATGGATCTAGAGTGTGTGATGCTGAGATCAATTCAAGTGCAATTCTGTGATCAAGGGCACTAGGATTAAGGTGTATGCACTACCCACCCTTAGTAACCTAGACAAGGTATAAGCCATAGAAAGAGCTGTGCTTTTCCCTTGTTGCTTTGCTGCTTTTTACCTACCATGAACTGCTTCTATTCTGTGATGCCTGTCTGCTGTGCCACCCTGCATTGGAGCCAGCCAATTTGGGACTGAAACTTCTACAAACTGTAAATTAAATTATTCCTTTTCTCTTAACTTGTGGGTGTTGGGTATTTTGTCTGAATAACAAGAAAAGTAACTTAGACAGTGTTTCTAGGAAAAAACAAGCAATGCTTGAGTTAAGTATAAAAGATAGCTACCTTGAAGTACTAGAGAGCACCAAAAAGAGAAATGCAGGAGAAAAGTTTGTGCTTAAAAGAAAGAAATAGGACTTCATGAGTTTTCCATTTCTGTGGGAGTTTTTGCATGAGGCCTCAGTTATTACGTTTAAATTTTAAATGGTTTCACAAACCGGCAAACAGAATTGGCACAAAAGGAGGATCTGAAAATTAGTTGTGTGTGTGTGTGTGTGTGTGTGTGTGTGTGTGTGTGTATGTATGTATGCTGTGGGAATATTCAACAAGCAAATTCCAGAATGGAAAGTAAGAAAGAGAGGAGAGAAGGAAGCTCCATATATTATTTGCCCGTATTTCTGCCTGACATCTGACACATATCAAACAGAATTTTGTACCATCTAAACCTAAAATAACTGAGATTTCAGTAATTACCACTACAGGAGAGAAGACAACAATGAGAGATAAATCCATGTTTATATTAGAAGCATTCAACACTTCTATTTTAGCAAGTGGTAGGAGCATGTGGCAAAATATTAGTAATAGTATGTGATTGGAGGTGCATCTTAAACACCCTTGAACTAATTGATTTGTCTCCCTGCCATAGTACTTGGGGTTCATCTCAGAGCATTCACACAGAAATATACCATCCCAGCCCATTTTAATTTTTATTTTGAGATAGGTTCTATCTAAGTTTTCCAGGAGAAAACGGGACTTGTAATCTTCCTGCATACTCCTCCAAGTGCTGGTTCTAAAGGTATGCACTACTGCACCTGGATCCTAATAAATATTTTATAGAGCACTGTACACATCTGTAGAATACACAGTACTTTCAAATGTATATGATTGGATAACCAATAAAAACCTATATCCAGGCTCTGAAACAAATCTCAATATGCTTATAAAAATTGAGATCATGTAGACTGTATCCTGTAACAATGGGCAGCATTGCAAAACACAAACAAATAAATATATGTTCTAGATATCAGTGCTTTGTGTGAAGATCAACTGGCTAAAATATTTCCGCCCTTGACGGATTGTCTTTTCACTCTCTTGATGATTTCTTTGGCTGTGAAGAATCTTTTAAATAAGATGAGATCCCGGGTTTGATTCTTTGTAGTATTTCCTGTGTATTGGGCAATTTGGTCATGAACTCTTTGCCTACAGCTATGTCTTTAAGAGTTCTACCTCGCCCCGCACCTTGCGCCCAGGCAGCGAGTTCTCCGGGAGCAGCAGGGCTCCTGGGTCCGAGTGTGGGCAGGACTCATACCACC